TTGATGAACAGGACTGAGAGCAAAAGGTTATGAGTAAATTGTATGTGTACTTTTGGCCTTTGTCTGTATTTATTTATTCCTCAGGAGGGCAGACATAGGTGATCAGAGGTCCAGTCCCTATTCTTCAGTTCCTGTGAATAAAGCACTGTGAGTTTGGCACCTTTTTGTGGTTCTAGATAAGTGGCAGTACCACAGGATTGTCCCTCTGGTCTCAGTCCCTCTAAGCCAATTCCCTCAAGCATGGAAAAGGATCTGCCTCTTCATCTCAGCTGGAGTTAATTTTATTGCCCGCTGTTGTCTGTGTTAGACGAAACTATAGTAGCATGCCACAGACTGTAATGCCTTTTCACATCTGTTTGCTCAGCTAGAAAATCTACCCAGGAGTTTCCTGAGTGCCTGCCGCAATATAACCTGGCATTTTGGAGTCTAGAAATGCCTGTGAACTCCTCAGATCACTTCTTCCCACCGATGAAGTATTGTTCTGAGATCCATCTGGTGTCAAGTGTAGGCATATGGCACCAGTATGGCAGCGCTGCCTACGGGGGTGGTTTCCTGCAGGAGAGGTCTCGCTGAATGCAGTAGTCATTGCTTATTGAAAGTCATTATTGTTTAACACCCAGGTCTTTGTGAACTTGTTCAACTGGTGGCTGGGCAGAGTGCCATCTGAATCTCCGGACATGAGCACAGACAGCTGGGTCTCTGGGGCCTTACACACATCAGATGTGGGTACTGAGGGCAGGCTTCTCAGTACGGAGAATCCACATGACTGTCTGTCCCGAGCATGTGTATCTGTGGTTGAAGAGATACGCCATCATTAGTCCGAATCTGGGCCAGATTAAGCTTCTAAAATGAAAAACAGCTCTGCCAGCCACTTGAAGAGGGCTCGGGGCCTGTGTGAACCGAGAGCACCAGCGGGGAGGGAGGGAGGCGGCAGAGGTGGCTCAGCGCCGTCACCACCCCTCGCCCCTGTCGCGCTGGTCTCCACACAGGATGAGACGGGCTGACGGTTGCCAAAACAGGGGCCAGGAGCACTGTCTTCGGCCCTTCGACTGCAGGCCTCCTCAAGGGCTGGGCAACACTGAGGTTGCTGGGGCCAGCCTTCTCTTTGCCATGACAAGAGCACAGACATTCCATGCTTTGCTTATTAATTGCATTTTCAGCCTGCTTCTTGTAACAGTAGAGAGTAGAAGCTTTAGTATTGGCGACTGGGTTTGCCCATTTGCCAGACAAAGATCTCCGGTTTCCCAGCCTGGGCCTGGCTCTCCCTTTTGCCTGGGCAGTGGTCCTACTGGGAGCCAACTCAGGCTCGCTCCTCCGGCCCTTTGAGAGCTGCTCACCTCTGCAGACAGGCAGAGCACGCAGGGGGCAAGGCAGCAGCGCCAGGGTGGTGGCACCCACCAGAAAGCCATCCCGAAAATAGAGGAGTAGAAGATCTGGGTGGAAGAACACAAAGCCAGAAGTACTGAAAGTGCTTTAGTGGAGATGCTGAGAAAGCTAGGGAGAGACAGAGAAAGCTAAATCCAGTAGACTGTATTTGCACAGAGTGAGAAAACACCAGAGATAAAGTGAATAATTAAATGATTCATTGCACAGAGCAATTCAGAGAAATGCAGGTGACCAAACTCTGAGGGTTCCCTGGTTCTTGCTGGTCCCAGAAACCTGCAAACACAGATGTCTGTGGCACCCATAAAAAGATAACGCTGGGAACCTCCTATTCTAAATCCCGCTTTTATATTCTGGACACTAAACTCACTGTGGAGTTGCCTTCTGACATGATCCCTCTTACATGTCTTTATGCACTGTTGACATATACTATGAGACTAGCTACTACAAGCACCTCCAGCAGGTAAAATATGCCTAACTGAAAAATTGGGAAGCTTTATTGTCATTATTGGAAAGTGCTGTGAGATTTCCCTAGAAAAGTGTGGTAGAAGTGCAGTGAGGAATACTCTGTTATTTTAAAAGCTGACCATGCACTGGTTCCTCCCCCTTTGAAGTCAGAGGCAAAATTCTGGTTTAGAGGAGCAAGACTGCTTGAATCGGCAAACAAGGCAGCCTGGAGGCAGAAGAGACTCACAGGGAATGGTTTCTGCTGCTCTCCTTGAGCACAGAGCTGTTCAGACAGGCTGGAGACCTGTCTGCTGCTTTCTCCCATTAAGGCTAAGAAATTAATGCTTTTAAAGTTGTTAAATGAATGGGCTGGATCTTACAGCCCTTACTCATCTGAGTACTGCCATTAACTTTAAGAAAATAATCACTTTATTAAGTGCTATGGAGTGGAGTCCTTAAATTGTTAAATTCTAATATTTGACAGAAGTTTTTCCTTGGTAGAAAAATAATATTGACATAATTAAAAGGATGTGAACCTTTCATCAGTTGAAAAATATGAGTTACTTTGGAGTGATACGTAAAACTAGAAGCAGTGCAGAGGGCTTAAGTCTGTGTCCTGTCTCCAGGTTATTTTTGAACTTTATGAAAAACACACTTTAGCATTTTATATCCTGACCATTCTGGGATTCTGAATTCAAAAACATGCTAACCATGAAAACACAGAATTTAAAAATACACTGTCCACTTGGCTTCTTTGCCCTGCTTCAGAATCTCCCAAGTTTGTTTCGGACAAACTGAGAACTTTGTTGTGGAATGACTATTTGAATTGAGGTTTCTTAAAATACATGTGGAGCCTTGTAGCTGCTGCGGGCTGTGCACAGTGGTGGAGCTGTACTATTTTAAAATCATCTGGCTATTCCACTTCATGTAAGAATATCTGTCAGCTTAGTTATAAGGAATGAAAGAAGTTGATTAAAACAACTCACGAAGCCATTGAACAAAGAGATAAAATGTAGAACATGTGCTGTAGGGTCATTCTAATTATAATGTATAGGGGATCTGTGGAAACCGGATGGCAGCTGCATAGTAGCTGAGTTTTAAGCCCCTCTTAGCAGCACCGAGGCCCTGTTTCTCAGTGGTGGGTTTTCTAATCTGTAAAGGTAATAGGTCCTTTGGAAATAGTGTTTGGAAGCTACCTTTTGTTGCTGCAACTGACCATAGTGCAATTACTATGCTCAAGCACTTAGCTAGATATGGACTAAAATAGGCAACTATGTATACTAATCATCTAGTCATTAGATACTAGACTATATAACATCAGAGAAACATTGCAAAACCTTTAGTCAAGAGGGGAGGGGACCAAAGATGTCAAGTGAACAGCCACAAGAATCCAGAAAGAACAGGGAAGAAAAAAGGTAGTGTCAGTTTATTTAATTGTCTTGGCAATCTTATTAGTTCAAAAAGACAGTATTGAATATGCTGCTGTATGCTAGAAATATGTCTACTGGGTTAATTTAGCATATAATCTGGCTTTAAACAATAGATATCAGACAGCCGCATGAATTCAGTAAAAATTATTTAAACTTCACGTTTTGCTTTATTCTTATTAACCTAGATATAGACATCAAGAGTTAGCATAATTAATTCTAGTCATATCAGAAGGGCTTTTAAGTCTCTAGTGTAAGAGTTCAAACCATTAGAAATCAGGATGAGGAGCAGTAAGGAAAGAAACAACACATCTCCCTACGTCAAAGGTTTTACAGCTCCATCCACTCCTGCCAGAGACAGGGTTGTCAGCTAGGTAGACATTGGGTGTAGTTCAGCTTGGCAGCTCCTGTGCCCCCAGTTCAATAAAGTTTACTTAAATGTCTGCAATGCTTTTATGCAAGTGAAATATGGTAACTTAGGTAACCCCTTGTCATTGAGTAAAATGGATTCACACATAGGAACATCACCACTTCAAAATATCCAGTCATTAAAATTTAAAAAAGATTTGTTACCAAAACTTATTGTAAACATCCAGAAAAATTAATTTTTAAGAATGCGACCACTAACAGTGAATTTAACTTTGTGACTGTAATTGCCACAGCAGTTCAAGTCTTGCTTTGTGGCTTGTAAGCATCACTAAAACTGCCCATGAAAAAATGACATTTGCTTCTGTTTGCAAACTGTCTTTATTAGTATGTGAATCCTCAGGAAATCATATGAATGCTGCAACTTTTGCTTTCCAATTTGCATAAAACAAAGATATAACATCCAGGACCAATTATTTAAAAATGGGAAATAATTCCTTAGACAGAGCATGGAGTACTTGAAGGATTTACAGCTTGTTGCTCTTGGCTGTAGCTTGTTGGCACATGAAGGTCCTGGGGACTGTTCCCTTGAGGACTTAAGGTGTTGTATGTTATTTTAAAGAGACTGGAAGGTGGTAGTTGGGCTAGATACCGATCTCCATACTGGCTTGTGGGGCACTCTACCAGATAGCCAGGGTAACCGTTACACCAGTCTGGCTTCTCAACATCCCCAGCTAAAGAACATGTACAAAGGCAACTCAGCTGTGATTAAAATGAGGAAAAACTCATCTCCGCTCAAACAGGGTAAGGGAAAGTGTGATTCCTTCTGCTATTAGAAGAGGACCTCTCTGTAGCAGAGAAATCAGTCATTGATCCAACAAGGAGATGCAGCTTCTCAGCCGATGCTCTTAAGGCAGTGCAGCTTGAGGTGCACTTTGGAGGCTCTCTCACAAACTCACCTCAGATTGTTTGAGAGTTAAAATCTAGAGCAGCAATAGGGGAAAAGCTCTTCCTGATGTGAAATTATGGTCCAGGATGCCAGCCACCGTTGGGCTGGCATCTGGTTACTTGAAGTTGTCACTTGTGGAAATTAAATTAAGCACTTGCCCACCACTGTCATGGAGAGGTTATCTCAGGTTTTTAGCAGCATGCTGAGACTCATCCTGTGGTACATATTTTCCCTGCAACCAATGGAACTGCACATTTTAGGGTCAAAATTGGCTTTAGCAGAATTACTGGTGTGCAAGGAATACAAATACAGCTCGTACAGTAATTTCTAAAATACAAAATGCTAATTACAATATGCTTCCTTAAGGAGAGACTTGAAGATGACTGACCATATAACTCCTCTCTTCTTCTCTACCTGTTTTATTCCAGTCTTCTGTGATGTCTGTCTGTTTTGCACGCTTTCACCCAAACCTGGTCGTTGGTGGAACATACTCTGGCCAAATTGTCTTATGGGATAATCGCAGTCACAGGCGCACTCCAGTTCAGAGAACTCCTTTATCTGCTGCTGCTCACACGGTAAGGATAAAACTCACCTCCTTCTTTCCTTAGAGGAAATGGTCAGCAGGGAAGTGGAGCTGTCTAGTTGTGTCTACAATGTTGATTGCCAGACAGATGAAAACATAAGTGTGGCCCTTTAAGGGAAAGCAATAAATAAGAGAGATGTACAACCACCTCCTGTAAGTGCTTAAACATCACACTTCGTACAGTCAGCTCAGGAGATTATCCTTTCCAAGGAAGAAGGCAGGATCAGTTGCAACACTTAAGTGAGGCACCTTTATGCCAGCACAGTGGCACTGTGACTCTTGCTTTCCATTGCCTGTATGGAGACCCAGGTCACTATAGGGGCTGTGTGTCTGTCAGTCCAGCATGGGAGGTAATTTGAATTATTTATTGTTGTCTTGTACACGTGTTTCTCTTTTGAACCAGGTTAGCCACCTACAGTGTTCTCAGCAGAGTCCCCAGCGCCCTTAGAGTCTGGGGCAGTTTGCTTCTGTTTTCCAATAGAGCAATACATAAATGTCTCCTACTCCAGACAGGGCCATAGGCGAGAGCTCTCAGTGAGGATGAGTTTGTTTCAATAGAATGACGTGGAAGAGCATTGTGCCAATGCACACATGTACCTGCACATATAGTGATGGTGGCACAGGGCTCTGGTGATGTCTGGTAGATATACAGGCAGAGCAGTACCACAAATGCCTGAGAAGGAAGAGAGTTTCTCTGTGATACAAAGATTATGTCTGTGGTAGAAGACTCTCTTACATTGCTAAGTACTCATATTGTGCTGGAGGAAGAGACAAGCTCGGATTGCCTGCTAAAGTGTCAGTCTGCTATGGTGCTGACCTCCAGTCCATCCTGCACTATGTTGTGTATTCTTGAGCTCTCCTCTTACAGATTTTGGACTCAGGCAGCCTATTCATAAGAGCTGGAAAGTTTACTCTGTGGATGGTATATCTTGTCTTGGGAGTGGGCTTGGGACCATTCCTGAGTGGGAACTGGAAAAGAAAATACAGGCTGAAAGGAGGAGAAAAATATAATAGTATGATATAAGAATGTGTAAAAGTGTAGATTTCCTGAAACATAAGAAACTGAACTACAGAAACCACTCGGAGAGATAAGATAATCTTGTTCTAGAAGATCTAGGATCAAAGTGATAGGTCTTTTGCACCTCCAGCTTTTACAATTCTGTGATTCTTTGGAATTTGCAGATCAAGGTTCAGCTTTTAGTTGACTGTGACAACATAATCCCTGGAGTTAAAAGACAATGTCTAGAAGCATGCCATGTGAATTAATGCGTGGGGCCAGCATGGGGCCAGTGTTACGATGGAAAGTCTTGTATATTAAAAAATGACAGGTGTGCACAGACACACTTAGTGGGCCAGGCAGTATAAATATTGTTCCCTAAATTTCCACTATCATGAATGTTGATGTAATAATCTAATGATCTGTGCCATGGGTTGCAACTTCAGCACTGCTTTTCATTTCCCTAATGTTTTTGCTCATTTTGTCGCTAGTAATGTTCAATCTCCATGAAAAGAAACAGTCTCTCCTGGAAGTGCAATTTAGAGATGTAGTAGACCAGAAAACTAGTGGCAAGAAGCTGACGATCACTGAAAATTGAACAACTGGGACTCAAAATCTAGTGGAAGTGAAAAGATTAATGGGAAGTAATTTGTTTACACTCAAAAAATGTTTAAGACAAAATTGTACCTCCTGGAATTACATATTAAACTAGTTTTATTATTGCAATAGAACAATATGTGATATTTTGCTTTTGACAAATATAAATAAATGACTTTCTGTTGTGGATGGGCACTTTCTGTGCTGTCATGGATTGGTATAAACAAGTGTTTACACAGTCTAACATGAGGAAGCATGATGTTTTTAAGGCCTGATCAGATTTTACAATAAAAGAGTGCTTTCTTTATGTTTGTATATAGGAATCACTTACATGAACTGCAAACAAAGTCTTGGCTGCAAATGGCTGGCTTGAATTCTAGCTACCAAGGGGGGAAAAAGGATTAAATTAAGACAACTCTTATGTAGCAATGTTACTTTATGCACTGCTAGTTACGTGAGTTGAATAGTAATTTTTAATTTGAACTTATGCCATATGTCAAAAAAAGATTTTTCTCTTTTCTTTCTCTCACTTTGTTTATTTGAAACAGATAGAGTGTGTTGTTATCACTGACTTAAACCTTCCTGAGGGTTAGTATCACTGATTGCAGCCTGGATTCACCAGGAAAGAGAATTCTACCCGCGGCTTACTCACTAATTTCCTTTCACACCCACCACACATATGCACTTGGGACAACAGGAAATTTTAATTAAGACAAAACCCTTTTGCATGATGATTTAATTTCCAAAATAAATAAAAGCAAGCTGGCAGTGATCCTTTGAAAGGAAGGAGCCTGTTTAGACTTTCTGTTACGTACAGTTGGTTGTCTTTTTCATCCATTTTCTTTACGTCTTTTCATTTCTGCCGTGAGTTTTATTGTGCATGAAATCGATGGCTGGTAGCCCTGATTAAATCCAGACCTGGCACACTGAGGTGCTGCTGGAAAGACATGGCTTGCTCTCTCTCCCCCCCCTAAATATTCTAGATAGTCTGCTGCTTGCGTTAGCTTCCTCCCACCCACTCTGTTCCTGTCTGTTTGGACTACTGGAAGTCAAAAACCCATGAAAAAATCAGTCTATGGTTATTTCACACATCAGTATGTGCTAATCATGTTTAGCACTGGGGTCCCTAGCTCATCACTGAGCAGCAAGAAGGTCCACCATATGAGGTTAATAGCATAAGACACACGTGAGGGACAGATTGGGGTCCATTTGATGATCTGGAGGAAACCAGGTGCCTGACAATCTTAAGAGAAAGAGAAAAATCACACCAGAATGGACCTTGCAACTTTGTGGTGTGTACAGGTGGCCTCCGAACACAAGGTACCATTTCAGCAGCAATTGCTGAGTCCATCTTGGGTGTGTGGACACACACAGTGCATTCAGATGCTGCTTTTTTTGCACTTAGGGAGGGGGCATTTACCTGAGAGCTAGCCAGTCTTCTGAAGATTCCTGCC